TTCAACATTATAGTTACATTTACATACCTGTCTCTTATACACATCTACAAAGGTCGATAACCGAAAACGTTTGCTCATTTGAATAAAATTATATATCTGGCAACTTATTATCATCTCTCCGGAGTTTTTGTTTATATATATATATATATATATATATATGATACGCTATGATATTAAAAACATGGTTAAATATGTAATTGACTATGTTACGTTATTGTTAATATGAAGATAATGACAAAAATAACAATATTTTGGCAGCCATCTTTAAATCAAATATGGCAGCCATCTGATGTAATTTATGATCACTGCATAATACTCCCTGATATTGAAAACATAGGTAAAGACCATTAAATGACAGTGTTAGGTGCTGTAATAAGAAGATTATTGATAAAAATTCAATATTTTGGTGGCCATTTTGAATTTCAAGATGGCGGCCACTAAGTGGCTTATTTTTTGGGGTCTATTTTTTTTAATGATCCTTAGGTGTCATAGTATCACTGTGGGAAGTTTCATGCTTTCTTCCAGAAGTGCACGATTTTTCTCCTTAGCCGCTCTACTATATATGTATATTTATTGTGTATGCGCTTTGTATATAGGTACTGATTATTTGCCTCCTGTCAAGTTTGTCCGTACGGGCATGTTGTGCATATGAGCATGTTGTATAACTACGGATATGTTTTGCCTTCGGGCATGTTCTGCCTTCGGGCATGTCTTTCCTACGAGAAGGTTTACCTCTGAGAAGTTTTCCTACGGCTGTTCTGCCTCCGGGCATGGTTTTGCCTACTGGCATGTTTTGCCTACGGGCATGTTTTATCTCCGCAATTGTTTTCCTACGGGCATGTTTTGGCTTACGGTCATGTTTGATCTAAATGTTAATACTGTTAACACAGAACTACACATTTTCACTGAATGGTTGGCCGCAAACAAAATTTTCATTAATGCACCAAACATTCTTTTTCACACCAACATAAAAAATAAATCTTTCTAATTTGAAATCTTTTTAATTTGAAATAACAAAAAAATGAAATAAATGGTGTAGATTGAGTGAAAAACCTATACTTTGCTTCTTGGTGTATATATAAGAACACTTACGTTGTATCAAACAACAAAATTATGTTTCTAAAAGAAATTGATTGGTGTAGTTAGTAGATTGCGATCTTCCCCCAATATACTCTACCCAGGTTTACAATACGCTCATTCAACCTCATCTTCTCTATTGCAACCTAATTTGGGAAGCTGACTATCCCACAAATTTAGAAAAGCTTTAACAAATTAATTAAACGTGTGCCGTTCGAATTATAACTTTTTCAGATTATCTTGCTCCATTTAAACCTCTTTGTAAAAAAACTAAATATACTTAAAATTAATGAATTGAACAAAATACAAACTGTTTCATTTATTTTTAATTCTTTCATTAATAAATTACTAGTGCCTATTTCCAAACTCTTTTCAACTTATACTAAATTTCATAATTATAATTTATCTCTCTCTCTCTAAACTACAGTATCTTGATATACCATTTGTTCGACTTAAGTTTCAGAATATTTTATCTGTTTCCAGGCCACGATTGTGAAATGAACTTGATGACCACTTCAACAGATTTAAATCTCCTAAATCCTTTCGGTGAAAGCTTAATTAGAGACCTCTACAGAACGTAGCAGAAAGTCGCAAAATCAAATTAGTACAATTGATTAACAACAAACGGCTAACTGCATAGGCTGAAAAGTTATATTCGTTTAGTTGGTTTTTTTAAATTTGTTTATTTATTATTTTTCTCCTAATATTTTTTTTGGAATTGTGCATGTTTATTTTTGTAAGTTTCACCATTATGATATTTGTGAGTTCAACTTTTTCAGCCGTCTGGCTGTTTGTTGTACATTTTATACCGTAATATATAATTTTTTAAATATTATATTGCTGGATGAGTGCTTTAAATTGTTAGTTTTAGGGGACACCTTTTTGGTGTCGTTCTACACATTTATATCAATGTCTATCTGTTCCTTAGGAAAAGTCTGTAGCAGATTTAGAACTGCGACTCTAGCAAAACCAGATAATTGGCAAAATGGTGACTGTGTGCCTAGTAGAACTATCCATGTTACCAAAGCAAGAGGTTCGATCCAATGTTCATCGATGTGTCTATGGCGTTTTCCGGAGTGTAACTCTATCAGATACTACAAGGTGTCAAAATCCTGTGAATTATTGACGTGCATGATGCTACCTAAACGAGAAAACAAGAATTGTATGACATATGGAATAAATCTGTCCGTAAGTAAAATATCGAACAAAGTGCAATGGTTGTCTTTTTTAACTTGACCAATCTAACTATATCAAAATAATTAATTTTTAATCTAATTTTCAGATTGATTGCAGTGAAATATTGAAGACTTCTCCGAGTTCTCAAAGTGGAGTATATGCAATTACAAATAACGACGGAACCAGGACTTGGCCTGTTTACTGCGACATGGTCACCGACGGTGGAGGATGGACAGTAAGTGCATCTTGTTTCTTTGCTTTGTCAAGATAAATACTACGTTACAATATTTTACCAAATGTAATTTCAACATTATAGTTACATTTACATACATTAGAAATGTATTTTCTGCATTCGCTAAAATAACATATATCCATATCGTAGTATCTACATGAAATTGAATAGCATTTAATATTGTAGACAAAATTTGCACAGAAACCCCAACAACCCCAATCTTTTTATGACTCTCAAATCATATGGCAATTTTTCCGATAATGTTGTTTATACTAAAACAACTAAAATGTAAATTTAGGTTTTTCAGAAACGTCAGTCTAGTTGGGCCGATTTTAGTTATTCGTGGTTAGATTACAAGAATGGTTTCGGAACTATGTGCGATTTCTGGCTAGGGAACGAACTAATCCATCAGATAACGGCATCTGGAGAGTACAGCCTTCGACTGGATATGACTACGACAAATGGTGACGTTTACTTTGCAACATACTCATGGTTTGCCGTCAATGGAGAGAGTGACAAGTACAGATTGGAGCTTGGAGCTCTAATAGACGACAATGCTGGTAAGCATTATTTTACTATAATTATCCAGTCCCATTTAGTGACCTGAGATACAGTATCGGTATCCGAGCGTGTGTAGCGAGTCTATTTACTTGTATACTCCGCCATAAGTTTTCCTGCACCAAGGGCAATACGAACATGTCCTCAACTCAATAACTTAAAATTTAATGTGAGGCACAGATTTTAAATGTGGGCTAGTTAGACCATTGCTTTTCCTTTGCAGATTAAAACATGTTAAGGGATAATGAGCTAAGGCAATTCCAAGAACCATCACATAGCTCCCATTTCAAGGGCGCAGCCAGCGTAAAATTTTAGAGGAGTCATTTCATATATTACATATTTGTTCTCATATTACCGATAATTTACTACTATATACGTGATATTTTTTTTAAAATTTTTATTAATTTGAGGGAGTCAGGACCCCCTAGACAGCTCACCCCTCTCACTTCCCCCTGCATTTCATAGTAGAACACTGATATTTTTTATGCTATGAGTAAACTCTAGATTTCCTCCAGTGTTAATATCAATCAATGAACAAACTCACAAAGATGTTAACTAAGCCTCGAATAGTCATAAATGCTTGAAGAATAGTAGAAGTTTGTAATCCATCTTGCTATGGTAGCCGACTAAACTGAAACAATATTGTAGCTAATTGCTGTACTTTTTTGGAAATATATTATATAATTTATCAGCAGTTAAGACGAAACCTGTTAAGTTCGCACTCTCTTGAAAGGTGAGTTTTTGAATGCAGCCTGTGCATATAAAATTATCTCTCTTTTTATTTGTAATACTGTAAAATTTGATAAAAGATCATAGCAGAACCAGATGATGACAGTCAAAAAAGAATTATATAGGCCTATTGTTTCTTGTAATAATAATAATACAAAAAACCGTTTCTGTGTAGCAACCCTTGATTTATAAATCAATAAATTTACACAATTTGCTCATAATAACTCAATTAGATTATATTCAACAAGAACCCAGGTATGAGAGATTAGCTGGCGCTGGTTTAGCGGGGCAGCTCAGACACCAAGTGAAGGGTGAAGAAGGAAATAAATGCTACTAAGTTTACCTCGAGCGGTTTGAGACTTCATATAAAGCGCCCCCTGTATACATTTGAACACGTACCGTACAGTACTTATATTGTTTATGTTCACTAATGGAATACGACGAACCGTACCTGCATTAACAAGTGACAACATTCCATCCCACACCCAATTTGGGGTACCAGGTGGAAAGGGGAAAATGGAAGATATTTCTGATTCATAGTCCTATCACAGAAAACCGAAATGTGCTTTTGGAAAAGTGTTCCAAACAGTTATAAATTACTACATACTTTGATACTTGATTGCTTGAACCTTTATTCCTAAAATCAGGTATTAAAATAGATTTATTTAAAGTGAAGCAGACGCCTGGCTGTAGTAAACTCAATTGATGGATTTCTCATAAGAAAACGAAAAAATCCGTAAAACATTTAGAAGAAAATTAAGAACATGCAAGAAGCTGAAAATTAATATTTGAAATAAAATTATATAATCTGAATGCAGGCTAAACATTTATGATAGGCATATAACAATACCAATATGATTGAGAACATTAATTAAGGCTAACTTATTCAATTGTTTTATTACCTCAGGGGATGTACTTTCACGTGCACGTGGTGGAGATTTCTCAACCTACGATATAGACAATGATAATCATGTTAGGAAGCATTGCGCTATGGTTTCTTCTGGTGGTTGGTGGTATTCAGCGTGCTTTAAATGCTTGCTAAATGGGTTGTTAGTAAACTTCAAGTGCGCAATTAATGATGCGTCTCCCATGCTGCAGTTGAGTCATTCGGAGATGAAGATGAAGAGGAGGCTGTAAGTCGTTTTCTCTTTTGAGGAAACTTGTAATAAAAACAAATTGTAGAATTTTCAAGTGAGTTTAACAGTTAATGTTTAAGATGAAGTACGCATGGAAATTATGTTGAATGATATAGCTCTATTATATTTATTATTTGTAATGTTAATGTGGTGAAGACTATTATATTAAATAGAAACAAATCGAGTACATTGTACAATTAGTTAAAGTCAGACCTTAAGATTAATCAACGACTATATACATCATACATGTAATGTTTGAATATTTTTCTATTGTGAAACTGATAATTATTTACATAATTATATATATATTAATATTATATGTAGTGTTGTCTAAAAGAAATAGGATGTTAGGCTTAATTTATAGAACATGATTGAAATTTTATGACCAGATATCGACACTAAAAATTTTAAATTTTGCACTGGAGTACTCAAATCTTGAATTTCGTGGTCACGTTTGCTCTTCTTTTAAAATAGATGAAATAAAAATTAATCTAATATATACAAAGACGGGCTACGAAAAATGATATGTAGGCCCAGACCTGATGAAATCCGAACTGGCTATCCCGCCAGGACTAGAAAACCGAAGGAATATAAGTGATCCTACTCTTTTTTACATGATATGGGAAAGAATAGGCCTAATTTATTTTATACTTGTTTCTCGTCTTATTCACCGTTTATATACATGAAATTCGAACTACCTATCCCACCTGGACTAGAAAACCAAAGGAATATAAGTGATCCTATTTTTTTAAACATGATATGGGAAAGAATAATTTATTTTGATATTAATACAAGTCTTGTTTCTCGTCTTATTCACCGTTCATGTACAATATGCAGGGGGCTGTCTCTTATACACATCTAGATGTGTATAAGAGACAGATATATATGTATATATATATATATATGTGTGGGTGGGTGGGTGTGTGTGTGTGTGATTATATAAGATACAACTACTGAGAAACAACAACGTTGTCAGAAACCATGAATGTGGCTAGATCTCGGTAGATATACTAATTTGATAAGCAACAGCTAAAAAGAAAACGTCAGCCAGAAATAGAATTAGAGCTTTTGGACAACACTAGGCCTTCCTCATTCTATCCTTTGAGGCGAGATCCCATTCTTCAATAGTTACGTTTGAAGAACCTCGAATTGATGCTGTAACCGTTACCTTCGGTCAAGATAAAACGTATGATGAATTGTTTGGAAAAAATATGTGTATTTTTTGGAGGTTTGCAAAGCGAAGTAATAACATATATGTTGACTTTTGCAGTAAACCACGTAGGTAGCTAGAACAGTTGTAGTCTCGACGTTTCGACTGAGTTGCTTCAGTTGTCTTTATGAGAATAATATCTGCAGAAATTCCAAACAGGGAAATACTTATATATGTGATAACACAACTACTTTCACAGCAATTTATCTTCAGTCTAGAGCATATTCCATCAAAATTGATGCTCTAACCCATAAGCTTGGCTTCCTTAAATTCGCTACACTGCTGTCGGACTCGCTATCAGTGTTTTCAGCGCAATCGTTGTACTGCGTACTGTAGCAGTCGCCGACGCAATCGGGAAGGTTCCCCGATATGAATTACTATATGACCGAAAGCTGTCGCCGATGCGTGTAGCGATTGCATAGAAACCAAGCTTACTCTCAAAGTCTAAACATAAATTATGCTGTATTGTTTGAAATAAATATCCTATAATATGTAGACCTTCATTATTAGGTGTTTAAGCATTTTTCAACTGTAATAATCGTCATTGTTTCTGTTGTGTTATTGTTAAAAGAAAAATCTATTAAAGGATGCAGATATTAATAAATGAATTATGGTGTTTATTAAATACCGAAATACTAAACAGAGTAGTGATTACGGAAATAACGGGTGGGTGAGCGAACGGATGGACGAACAGACTACCAAACAGATGGACGGAGAGACTAACAAATGAACCGACGAGAAGATAGATAGATGGATGGTGAATTGATTTATTACAAAATTGATTGATTGATTGATTGAATGATTGACTGACTAATAATGTGTTAACTTAACCGACCTCTTAATATGTGTATACCATCAGGACCAGAAGACTTGTTGCAGTTTGCCCAATTTGAGACCACCAGTGGGACATGAATATGCGAGTTGGTTTTTGGAAATATCACTCAAAACACCATGGAATCAACAAAATGCTCACCTTCGCTAATACACATGGAAAAAACATCCATCACTAAAAATTCAATTTAAACATTTAAAAAAGCCAAACAAACTTCTAATAAAACACGACGTTATCGAATAAAATTGACACAGTTTACATACAAATTGTTAAGGCTAGCCTTGATTTTTTTTTTTAAATTAAAAGACACCTATGCTTGATAAGTAGATAACATAATTGTTCCTTCCTTTACTTGAGCAGTGTTTCTATCACTCATTACTTTATTTAAAATATCAGAGCTATAGCATATGCAACGCTTCTTCTACAAACCCTTTGAAGGCTCCGTACATTGCTGTCCCAATTATTATGAAGAAACTACAGTGGCTGCAATGAACTGTCAAGAAACCTTGCCGCCTGTTAAAGAAAACACAATACAATAATGCAACACTTCTTTATTTTATGATTTAAGTACATATAAAAAAGTAGAAAGTATGTTGTAAAATCACAACCAAAAAGCGCAGGAATAAAAAGTTTAGAAAGATAATCTATATGCAGACGTGGGAAATTACGAGTGTTACCACTTTCCATGGTCACCAATTGCTGAATGACGTAGTCCTCAAATGTCAGTTGCCACCGAATGATAAAGTCGCAACAAAATACTATAAGCGCCGAACGAAAGGCTGCTCTATAGGTGTACAATAATTAATAATTTTACTATTTTGAGGGAACAAAATTATTTTGTAGGAACGAAATAATTGCCTGTTGTTAAAGAAAACACAATACAATAATGCAACACTTCTTGATTTTATGATTTAACTATATATAAAAAAGTAGAACGTATACACTTGTAAAAGCACAACCTGAAAGCGCAGGATTAAAAAAGTTTAGAAAGATAGTCTTATATGCAGACGTGGGAAATTACGAGTGTTACCCCTTTTCATGGTCACCAAGTAATATATTTGTTGAACGATGTAGTTGCCAAATGACGTATTCCTCAAATGCCAGTTGCCGAATGCTGTAGTTGCTGCCGAATGATAAAGTCGCAACAAAATACTATATGCGCCGAACAAATGTCTGCTCTGTAGGTGTACCATAATTATACAAAATTTTACTATTTTGAGGGAACAAAATATTATTTTGTAGGAACGAATTATTTCGAGGAATGAAATCATTATTTTTGGGGGAACAAAATATTATTTCAAAAACGAAATATATTTCGAAGGGACAAAATATTATTTTGTTCTCTCGAAATGATTTTGTTTCCTCGAAATGATTTTGAGGAAACGAAATATTATTTTGAGAACGAAATGATTTTATTTCCTTGAAATAATATTTTATTTTTCTAACCCGTCTCTTTATGCGCTCCCTAGGAATTTACTGGGACACTCATAGATATATTACATTGTACTGTACAAAAAAAAATCAAACACTTGAAAAATCCTTTGGAGTGTTTTTCACACTTTTATTTCCACAAAACAATTATCGCTGATTAAAGTTTACCTTTTGAATGTATCATTGATGTACATACACATAAACATAATTATACTGTGTTTTGAAGTTATAAGAAAAAAACATTCTTTGCAAATTCTCTGTACCAATATGGCTAAATTAAAGCCGTGTTTTCTGGTTTTCCTAAATAAGGAAAAATGTATATAGTTTCTTACTCTGAAAATCATTGGTGAAGAAGCAACTTGAATGTAAACACATCTTTAGAATTTAATTAATAAGAAAATTACTAGCCTTTTCGAAATCAAGAACAAAAACTTAAATTTATTTTCATTATTAAAATTATCTATTTAGAACTACTGCAATGATGTCAGAAAAAGACTTTTATGAATTATTGCAATAATAATACAGTTTATGAATTCTTCTCCGGCACTTTAATGACTACCTGTAAGAAAAAAAAATTAACATTAAAATAATAATTTTAAAAAGAAAGAAAAATATCATATATATTCAACGTATGACCTTCAATCAAACAATCAACAAGGATTTACAGTATGAGGTAGAGCCAAACCCATGAAGTGTTTCTTGGAGTCCGCAGCAAGATCACCACAAACGCCAGAAGTCGCAAGAAAATCGACAACACAAAAGAGCTATGTGTGTAGTTAGCAGACAGCTCTTGTGTGTGGGAGGTCTTAGGTAAAAGAGTTTTGTTAAAGATGGGAGTTGGCCCTAGAGAGAGAAGCTTGGAAAATTAACCTCATCGTAGTATACAATACCGTTACCAAAACATGTATAGTACTGTAGTATGGTTACAACTCTTAAATGAAAAAAGACACTTAATTGGGATATTTATATGGAAATAAATATTATGTTATTGAATATATATTCTGTAAGAAATTTTAAACACGAAAGTGACTTACTGTCTTAACCTCATGATATTCTTTCAATGAATCCTCTCCCCTAAAAATAAATTAATCAAAAAATGTCAAATTGATATCAAAGTGAAAATCCTTGGCTCATGTGCTTATATCAATTAACAACAATTTGAACATGAACACTTGTGCGTAGAACATTAAAGCTAAGGGTAAACTTACAGGTCCCTGCCAAACCCAGACTGTTTGTAGCCACCGAAAGGAACTGAAGGTCCACCAACATTGTAGCAATTAACCCTAAAAATGTAAACAAACACAATATTAACTAGAGCAGTCACTCTATAGCGTGCATACCTCCACCCTGTGCCTGAACAATATGCAGAGGGTGCATGATGGGCAATTCCATTTTTTCCACCCTGTGCCTGAACAATATGCAGGGGGTGTATGATAGGAGATTCCATTATATTCCACCCTGTGCCTGAACAATATGCAGAGGGTATATGATGGGTGAATCCATTATTTTCCACCCTGTGCCTGAATAATGGGCCGGAGGTGTATGATGGGCGATTCCATTCTTTTCCACCCTGTGCCTGCAAAATATGCAAGGGGTGTATGATGGGAGATTCCATTTTTTTTCTATTCTGTGCATGAATACCAAACAATATGCAGGCAAGCCATTTTTATGTTTGGGGTTAAAATCTCGGTGACCTTGACATTTGACCTGTTCTTCCCAAAATGTAATCATCTCTTAAACTTCCTTAAAGCTCTGTCCACACTATTTAGTTTCATGTGTCAAGTAAATGAATGTGATATGACGTCAGTATTATGACATCCACTTGTAAGACCTGCAATACAACACGAGCAACAATTTCATTAGTGCACTAGTTACATGAGTAACTTTGAAAAAATGATAAATAGGTGGTACAGTGTGGTAGTCAAGTAATGTATTATATAAGCATACCTTTTCCAAATCCCATTCGATCTATCGAAAATATTTAAGCCAAATACAGTCACTTAGATCTATTTGAATCACAATGATAACGTTGAAGATGCAAAATCATTAAGTACTAAGTCACTGTATGCTAGTAGAAAATTCAGAAAATGCTATGATAGCAAAGTAAATCTGTGTCTCGTTTCAGAAAATGCTATGATATAGCAAATTAAATATGTATCTCGATCGTTTCAGAAAATGCTATGATATAGCAAAATAAATCCTTAAACGTGTCGCTATAATGCTTTAATTCAGCCATTTTTAAAGCTGGCCTAAGGTAGTAACAACTTCTCAATTCAAGACATTATTAATTAACCAGTCGTGTAAATGTCATCAGAATAATTTCTAATAGTAAGGCCTACATTGTATATTTATAACAATAGCCTACAGGCCTATTAAATGTTTACTTTGGTACTCACCCGCTGTGTCTTTCTCTGTTTACAACCTCCTCCGCTGCTCACACTAGAAGAATAATGAACCCAGAGGTAACGGAAAACTCTTGTGTTTAACCGGTATATTCAAAATAGGAGGCTTAACTTTGATTGGATGTTATTGTATGCATGGTTGGATTAAAACAATAACATCCAATCAAAATTAGAAATTTGTTGACAAATAATGTAACTGTTAAAATAACAAAAGCCTAATGCCTAATCTAAGGCACCTGTTTGATACTACTAGTCATTAATTTGTGAATTCTTTCTCGCCCATACTTTTAAGCTGATTGATACCGTTTTAGTGTAGTATATGCGAACTTAATTTGTTTTAGGCCTATATTAAGCCTAGGTATTTTTTTTTATTAATGTAAAGACGGAAGATATGAAATAAATATGATAGGCAATTGATGTAACAATAATACAGATCCGGATGGGCCTGCCCACAGGGCAAGATCTATGATTTTGGTTGCTTATAGCAACCCGTAGCTGTCTGTCTAGCAGTTACGGCGTAAGCCCCCACCCCCATCGGACAAATCAAGGGCCCCCCGGCAGAGCTCGTCGGGCAGTCAGACCAAAAAAAATTAAATATAGGCCTACACCAAACCAAACTATATGTCTTTCACACTGCGTAAGTGCCATTTTCCGGCCATCCAGAGCTCCCTATTTTTAGAAAAATCTCATCTCCCAAACCCTCCACCTCCTCAGGCATACAAGCTTCACCCCTTGTCGGACAGCTTAGCCCCCCCCCCCCCCGAAAATGTATCCCAGAGCAGCCACTGTCTAGGCTAGGCCTATGCAGAATGTGGCCCTATGCTACTAAAGAAACTGCATTGATAGACCTACAGGTTATTTAATACATTAATTGTATACAATACAAATTGCAATACAGACATTGGAAAGTTAATATGTTTAATTTAATTAAATATTTAACATTCAGTTCCCCTTCTCTTGTGTAATATAGCCGGCGATTTTGTGAAACACTAAAAAGTAATAAATCTTAACTTCCGCAGTTATGTTGTGATAGAAGTTGTAATTTTAATTTATTACGCCCATTTTTACTTCCAGTAAGATAATTAGTTCATGGGATTAATGTTGGAAAATCCACAGACTATAGCACAGTATTAAGATCTTATAATATACATGATGGCGTTCTCCGCGATTTCTTTGTACTGTAACAGTAACAAAGCAATATAGGGCGCCATCTGGAGTCCCGCCATTACAATTACATTTGCATTTTTGACATCTACGTGCAAATTCTAGAACAACCGCCATAGAGCTGGAACTCTACCACCATAGTAACAAGGACGCCCTCTCTCAATTACAATTACTTTCTACTTTACTGAACATAGACGCTTCTATTTGTTAAAAGTAGAATTGTGGAGAGCGCTATTATATCTTGCAATTATAAGATCTTTGGTGGAAAGTTTTTCTTACTCAGCACTATTCATTAAGCACAAGCTAGTCTAGTGGTTATGGCGCCGGCTAATTTTCTGGAGGTCGTAAGTTCGATTCCCACCCATAAATGTATATCGCAAGCATTTAGGAACGATGAATGTAGGCAAAAATGGCCCCGGTAAAAATGGCCGAGGAAAAAATGGCCCCGGAAAAAATTCCCCCGGTAAAAATGGCCCTAGTAAAAATGGCCCCAAATGACAAGTAGGTAGAAATGGCCCCAATGAAAAAATTCAGTTTTTTTTTTAATCTTAAAATATTTAAATACTAGCTGTAACAAGCAAAAATTGAATCAATAACAAATACAGTTACACAATAGTTGCCAAATGACGTACTGAGAGATTATCGGAAACAATGGCCATTGAATAACATTTTTTGATAGTAGAAATAAGTTTTAAAAACTACACTAACAAAGTAGAGGAATGAAATACATACCAAACACACAACAACCAAAATATGCAACTCATAGATTACCACAAAATTCACTTTTGTTAAGTATCAAATGAAATAACTTTATATGTTATAAACAGTGCAAATAAACAGTAGTGTAACAATATTCTAAACGCTTTAATAATAAACGCTTTACCGCCACCTATAGACGATGATTTAAGTTGTTGCAAAGTGTGAGAATTAAATGGCGCACGCCATGAAGTAAAGCATATTTTATCGTTCTATACTTGTATAATTAACTACAAGCTTATCTTAACATGGTTGCAGCGGTGGTGAATTAATCAGCAATTACTCCTGCACCAATGGGACCTAATCTGCTTCAAACCTGTATACATCAAGGACAATTCCTGTAGAGTACGTGAGTCATCTCCCCTCTATTTACTACTACTGTGACTACTATATTAGAGGCCTAGACCTACACGACTGTTCAGCATTATGAGCTTGCCGACTGGCCCTGACGCCGACGCGTCAAATGAGGTTGAACCAAATAGCTCCAGTAACGCCGGCCTTGGTTCTACTGCATACAAGAAACCACAGATTCATCCACCGACGCCTTTCAATCCAGAAGGTGATGATGTTGCCGAGGTTGCAGAGAGATGGAAAATGTGGAAACAAATGTGGGGAAATTATTGCACTCTGACAAATTTAGCAAGTCAACCCCAGCCATACAAAACGGCATTATTACTCCACAGCTTAGGACCAGCGAGCCTAGGAGTATACAATGGTTTAAAATTTGATGACCCTGCTGATGCTCAACAAGTAGATAAGATTCTGCAACAGCTCGATAGCCACTTTCTTGGTCAGCAGCAAGAATTTTTTGAACGTTTTAAGTTCAACAAAAGAAACCAGAATGCGGGAGAAACTATTGAACAATATATCACTACCCTAAGAAATATGTCAAAGACCTGTGGATTTTGTGCATGCATGAAGGACAAATTGCTTATGGACCGACTACTGATGGGAGTAACTAATGATAAAATGAGAGAAAAGATGGCTTCCACTCATAATCTCACTCTACCTGAGCTATAGAAATTTGTTAAGCTATTGAAAATGCAACAGTACAGATGAAAGCAATTAGAGATAAATAAAAAAAATATACCAACCTAAACAGCAAAGATCAAAGAAACAAATCAATCATGATGCAGCCTCAAAGCCAAGAAGTTTTACAAGACTCTGCAAATTCTGCAGAAAAGACCATCATTTCCGGAAGGAAGAATGACCCGCATGGGGAAGGACCTGCAGTGACTGCGGATGAAAAAAACCACTTTAAAGCATAAGAAAAGTGCATGTAGTTCAACGTGAATATACCTCTTCCTCAGATGGAGAGAGCATAAGTCACATATCTAAAGTCAATGCTGTAAGCCGTAACCGAGGTAAACCGATATACTGCAACATGGAGATTGATAGCAAACCTGTAAAGTTCCAAATTGACAGTGGGGCCACAGTGAACTTGGTTCCTCAGAAATACGCCACCAACATTGACAAAGAAGAGATCAAACCGAGGATGTGGAACAATGCCGGAATGAATGCATTGGGCCTGACAACTGTCAAGATGAGAAACCCATCTACCAGGAAAAATACAAAGTACACTGCGTTGTGAAGAAGACTTAACTCCCATCCTAGATCGAACTGCAGCTGAAGCGATGGGCTTAATTACAGTCAATTACGATAACTTCATGCAAGTCAACTCTGTCAATTCACATTTACCCAACTACATCAAGGAATATGAAGAAGTTCTTGATGACACAAAGACTGGAGTTCTACTAGGAGATAAAGTTCACATTACTATAAGCGAAGATGCTATGCTAATTATAAGGCCAGCGAGAGGAGTTCCAGAGGATCTGAAAACTGCTGTAAAAATGAAGATTGACACACTGGTTCAGCAAAACGTATTGAGCAAGATTGATGACCCAACAGACTGGGTCAGCCAAATGGTAGTGGCTAGGAAGAAATCTGGAGGCATTAGATTTTGTATTGACCCAGGTAACCTCAACCGATACCTACCACGAGAACACCATCCACTGCCGGTACTCTCAGACATATTGCCAAATCTTAACAATACACAGTAT